TTGATTTTTTTTTATTTTTTGTGTTTTTTTTTTTTTTATTTTTTTTAAATGTTTTTTTTTTTTTTTTTTTTTAATTTTGTTTTTATTTTATATTTTTTTGTTTATTTTTTATGATATTTTTGTTGTTATTTTTTTTTTTTTTTTGTTTTATTATTTTTTTTAATTTCATTTTTGTTTCTTGTTTTTTGATGATGACGAGGATAGAGGATGATGTTGGGGATGATGACGACGATTGATGACGATGAATGATGATGATGATGATGATGGGTTGACGATGGTTGATGATGAAGATGATGAAGACGCCGATGATGACGGCGATAGACGCTGATGATGGTGTGATGTTGATGCTGGTTTTCCCGTCGTGCTGCCTGCATATTGTTGCTGCTGGTTCGGTGGTGAGTGATGATGATGACGATGATGAATGATGCTGATGATGATGATAATGACGATGGTTATGATGAATGATGATGCTGATGATGATATGATGATGATGATGATGATGATGATGATGATGACGAGATGATGATGATGATGATGATGATGATGGTGGTGGTGGTGGTGGTGGTGATGATGATGATGATGATTATGATGATGATGATGATGATGATGATGATGATGATGATGATGATGATGATGATGATGATGATCGCAGGTGGAGGAGGAGCAGGTGGAGCATCTGGGGCGCAGGGAGAGGATGACCGCCCAGGCGTTGCCGTTTCACGGCGAGGACGGGGAAGAGCGCTACTTCACCGTGCGTGGCTTGGCGTCCGTCGGGCCGCACATGCCCTTCGGGGGCCGCGTGGACATCGCGGAGGGCTACGTCGTTGATGTCACGGGACCCGCCGCGGTTCTGCGCAGCGAGGAGGAGGAGGAGGAGGAGGAGGATAGGAGGAGTGAGGAGGAGGAGGAGGAGGGGGAGCAGGAGGAGGAGGAGGAGGAGGAAGAGGAGGAGGTGAAGGAGAAGAGGGAGGACGAGGTAGGAGGAGGAGGGAAGATGAAATGAATAGGGGGGAGGAGGGGGAAGAGTGCGGAAGGAAGATGCATAAGGAGGAGGTGGAAGCAATGAGTGGCGATGGGGTGAGCAGGAGGAAGAATAAGCAGAAGAAGAAGACGAAGAAGAGGAGTAAGGAGGCGGAAAAGAAGGAGGCAGACGAGGAGGGAGGAGGAGGAAAAGGAGGGGAGGAGAAGAAGGAAGCAGGAGACGGGGGGAGCGGGGAGGAGGAGGAGGGAAGAGGAGGAAGGAGGAGGAGGAGGAGGGGAGGAGGAAGAGGATGAGGAGGAGGAGGAGGAAGAGGAACGAGGAGGAGGAGGAATAGAAAGCGGAGGAGGAATAGGAGGAGGAGGAGGAGGAGGAAGGAGTAGTAGGAGGAAGGAGGAGGAGGAGGAGGAGGAGGAGAAGAAGAGCGACCAAGATTCACGGCGTGGTTTCAAAGATACATGACAGGCCCATCCCACGACCGGAGGACCGTGCAGCGAACGGTGGAACATGTTACTGATCTCCGACATCCTTTGTCGCATCACGAATCCCAGGAGCTCTGGGGGAGGATGGATGAGGGGGGCAGGGAGGGAGGAGCTGGAGGAGGAGGAGGGGGAGGAGGAGGAGGAGGAGGAGGAGGAGGAGGAGGAGGAGGAGGAGGAGGAGAGGAGGAGGAGGAGGAAGGAGGAGGAGGGGGAGGAGGAGGGCGGAGGAGGAGGAGGAGGGAGGAGGAGGAGGGGACCAGCTTTTCACCCGGGGTCGTTTTTGATTGTCCTGGGGCCCTGCAGGGGCCCCCGGACGCCGAAAGCGGGAAGACAACGTCCCGTCGTGATTTTCTGTTGCAGCGAAGGGGGGTGAGGGGAGGAGGAAGGAGGAAGGAGGAAGGAGGAAGGAGTAAGGAGGAAGGAGGAGGAGGAGGAGGAAGAGGAGGAGGTGGAGGAGGAAGAGGAGGACGAGGAGGAGGAGGAGGAGAGATGAGAAGGAGGAGGAGTAGGAGGAGGAGGAGGAAAGGAGGGACCAGGAGCAGAAGAAGGAGCAGGAGGAGGAGGAGGAGGAGAGGGAGGAGGAGGTGGAGGAGCAAGAGGAGAAAGAGGAGGGGGAGGAGGGAGGGGGGGAAGGAGGAGGAGGAGGAGCAGACGCGAGCAGGCGGAAGAGCGGGCGGCAGGCCCGGAGCTGGCGCTGAAGGAGGCGTCCAGGTGGCAGGAGCGCTGGCAGGGCCTGGCGCGGCTCGTGTTCGACTTCGTGCTGCTCGTTGACACGACGCAGTCCTGCGCGCCAGCTGGCCTCGATCCGTTGATCGGGACTGATGATGATGCTGATGATGATGGTGAGGATGGTGATGGCGATGGTGATGGTGATGGTGATGATGCTGATGATGGTGATGATGGTGATGGCGATGGTGACGGTGATGGTGATGATCATGCTGATGGTGATGATGACGATGATGATGAGGAGGATGGTGATAATGATGATGATGAGGATGATCATGATGATGGTTTTGGTGACGATGGTTATGATTATGATCACGATGATACTGATGATGCTGATGATACTGACAATGTTGACGATGATGATAATGATGATGCTACTGATGATGATGGTTATGGTGATGCTGATGATGATGGTGATGATGGTGATGATGGTGATGGTGATGGTGGTGATGATGATGCTGATGGTGGTGAGGATGATGAGGATGATGATGATGATGATGATGCTGATGACGATGATTAGGAATATGATCATGATGATACTGATGATGCTGATGATACTGACGATGTTGACGATGATGATGATACTTATGATGATTGTAATGATGCTGATGATGGTGATGATGATGATGGTGGTGATGGTGATGGTGATGGTGATGATGGCGATGATGATGATGATGCTGATGATGATGATGATGATGATGATGACCATGATGATGATGCTGCTGATGCTGATGATGATGATGATGATGATGATGATGATGATGATGATGACGGTGAGGATGACGAGGACGGTTAGAACGAGGGCGAGAATGTTGAGGAGGGAGAGGGCGAGCAGGACTTTGACGACACGAGCCAGAGCGACAGCAACACCGAACTCTTGGTCGGGCCTATTCCGATCACATCCTCCACCTTCACTCCAGTCGTGCTTCCCATTCGTGGCGTGGTTCGCGTGCCTGGAGATGGACCAGGCCTGCTGGATCGGGATCGGGGTGAGCCCTGGCCTTGAGTCGGCTGGGATCGGTGGGGCTCTGAGGTACCGCATCCTGGAGGTGTGGGACGATTCTGGCGTGTTCGATGAGAAGCTCGACGGCAGGCCGCCCTCTGCCTGTGCTCCCTATACTCCGCATGTGTATTCCGCTCGCTCGGCCGCGTTCTGCGCGCTTGCTTGCCGGGCACAGCCGCCCAACCTGCCATCAACTCGCCCACTTGCCAATTCTCCCAGACCCGACAGTCCTGCGGCGACTGACTCAGTCACGCTCTCGTCCGCTCGCCTAGTCTACCATTCACCAGCGGGCTTGCGTATTCGTCAAGCCCCCTCCCATCCCCTCGGAACGCCCGATGGGGCCCTCGAGGGCCCCTCCATCATGGAAACGTGCTTTGGGAGTTTGCAGAGCTATTCTGAGCTAGCTGGTCCCAGGTAACTCGACCAAGGGCCTCCCGGACGAATTATCCCACCTCTACAAGATCTGGGGGAAGCTTGCTGAATGTGAGGTGGCCGAGACGGCGCGCACCAAGCTGCCCCGTTACGGTTCCAGGGGAAGGCGCCCGAAGCTGAAATGGGCCTCGGTGTCGAGAGGCTCTCCCCACGACAGGAAGCGCCCAGAGCTCTTTGGGATCAAATGGTTGGTCTGCACTTTCATCGGGGGAGCGTAAGACCCGGGTTTGCCAGGACTCGGGTTCGCCATCGTTTTTTGACGACCGCGACTCGGATTTTGACGAGTAGGAGTTTCGTGGGATGTTTGCAGCGGGAGGCCTCGTCAAAATGCAGGCTCGGCCTCGCCATTTTTTTGACGACCTCGTCGGGGATTTCCGAGTCCCCTGTACCCGGGTCTTACGCCCCCCTGATTTCAGGCAGCAGAAAAGGTACCAAGATCGGCTCCCCCGAGGCCGGGCAGCGAACGATTTCAAACAGGACCACCGCCCGGAGACCTGCCAGAGTGTTTCGCCCCCCGCTCCCGCGTGCGGCAGCGCTGCCATAAGCGAGTGGGGCGCTCTCCTCCCCCTCCTCCTCCTCCTCCTCCACCTCCTCCTCCTCCTCCTCCACCTCCTCCTCCTCTTTCTTCGCCTCCTCCCCATCCACCCTCCTCCCCATCCTCCTCCTCCTCCTCCTCCTCCTCCTAAGCGCACGCCTCCCTCATCTAGCCGCCGACTACTTGTTGACCCCTCCTCCTCCTCCTCCCTCCGCGGTCTTCTCGTACTCCCCCATAAACCCTCAGTCCAACAGACCCCCCGCGGATCCCTTCGCCGCCGCCTTCCTCCTCCTCACGAATAATCCCGTACATCCGCTGGCTTCTCTACTCCTGCACACCTCCCACGGCCTCCTCCGCCATCACCGCCGCCTCCTCCATGCAAGTCGCAGCACGACCCCGCCTCCACAGCCCCTCCGTAAGACTCGAATCATCGGCACGGGGACCCTTCTTCTTCCGCATCCCCAATGACACCATACTACCACCTACTCCTCCTCCCTCATCTCCTCCTCCTCCCTCCTCCCTCCTCCTCCTTGTTCTCCTCCTCCTCCTCCTCCTCCTCCTCCTCCTCCTCAGGACGCGCCGCCATGAAGGACGGCGCAACTGCAACGGATCAAGGCGATGCTTGCGCGGATCCCTGCTTGCAGGGGAGGACGGCGACTCCGACCCTCTCGAGTCTCTCGACGAGGCGCTGGCCCAGGAACAGCTTCGCGCCAGAAGTCCGGCCAGCAAGTCTCGGAAAGAGTGGCTTGGACAAAAACGTGGAAGAAGGGCGGCAAAGGTGCGCACTCGGCCAGAAAGCCCGTGTTGGGTTGGAAGGCCACCGCTACCCTCCCGTTTTCTGGGACCGTGATTTCGGGCCCGCTGGCCCTACTCAAAAGTGCGTTTTCCACGTGTCATAAAATCTGGGAGGCCGAATAGGGTTGAGCCAAAATGGCTACGGTCCTCCTCCTCCTCCTCCTTCTCCTCCTCCTCGTTATCCTCCTCCTCCTCCTCCTCCCCCGGGCCAGGTCCCTGCTGAACTACCTGGAGGGTCCGGAGGACCGGTCCGCGATGTCCAGCGCCATCAGCACGGCGCTGCTCGCGGAGGCCGGCGCTCAGAGGCCCGTGGCCTTCTGGAACTCCCGGCGGAAGGACGTCGGCCCAGCCGCCCGGGCGCTTGGTCGCCGTCGTCGCCGGAGGAGGAAGAGGAGAAGGAGGAGAAGGAGGAGGAAGAGGAGGAGAAGGAGGATGCTGAGGAGGAGAAGAAGGAGGAGGAGGAGAAAGGGGAAGAAGCAGAGAGGAGGAGGAGGAGGAGGAGGAAGAGGAGGAGGAAGAGGAGGAGGAGGAGGAAGACTAAGAATAATAAGAAGAGAGGAGAGGGGGAGAAGGAGGAGGAGGAGGAAGAGGAATAATACTAACAAGAAGAGAGGAAAGGGGGAGTAGGAGGAGGAGGAGGAGGAGGAGGAGGAGGAGGAGGAAGAGGCAAAGGAGGTGGAGGAGGAGAAGGAGGGGAAAGGAGGAGGAAAATGAGGATGCTGAGGAGGAGGAGGAGGAGGAGAATAAGAATAATTAAATAACAAGAAGGGAGGAAAGGGGGGAGGAGGATGATTGAGGAGGAGGTAGGGATGAGGAAAGGGAGGAAGAAGGAAGCAGGAGGAGGAAAAGGAGGAGGAGGACGAGGAGGAGGAGGAGGAGGAGGAGGAGGAGGAGGAGGAGAGGAGGAAGAGGCGAAGTGAGGAGGAGGAGGAGGAGGCAAAGGAGGAGGATAGGAGGAGGAAAAAAAAGAGGATTGCTCCGAAGGAAGGAGGAGGAGGTGGAGGAGGAAGGAGGGAGGAATAAAACTAACAAGAAGAGAGGAGAGGGGGGGAGGAGGAGGAGGACGTAGGAGGAGGAGGGGAGGACGAGGAGGAGAAAGAAGGAGAAGGAGGAGGAGGAGGACGAGGAGGAGGAGGAGGAGGAGGAGGAGGAAGAGGCGAAGGATGAGGAGGATGAGGAGGAGGAGGAGGAGGAGGAGGAGGAGGAGGAGGAGGAGGAGGAGGGCGCGCAGAGGCCCATGACCTTCTGGAACTCCCGGGTCTTGTCGTCGGTGGTTCTCGGGCTGATTTTCGCACGGTGTTTCGCTCTTTTCGGTTATCGGCTTTCCTTGAGATCCTGACGTTTCCTGACGTTCCAGCTTTTTCGGGCCCCGGGACCCTCACAGATCGATCTGGCCCAAAAAATGGTATAGAAAGGTGGGGTTAGGGCTCATGGCGTAACTTTTTTCGAAGTCGCAATTTGTCCCAACCATTATGTGGTGTTGGGCCCTCGTTTTGAAGAGGCGGTCCCCGCGTTCCTCTCCTCTCCTCTCCTCTCCTCTCCTCTCCTCTCCTCTCCTCTCCTCTCCTCTCCTCTCCTCTCCTCTCCTCTCATCCTCCTCCCCCTCACTCTGGCACACACCCCTCACTTTGGCACACCCCTCACACGTTTCGTGGCCCTATAGGGAGCTCCACCGAAGGCCCACATGCCAGCGTTCGCATGCAGCCACCGCACCCATTTTGGCACACCCCTCACACGCTTCGTGGCCCCGCAGGGAGCCCTACCGAAGGCCCAAATTGCCAGTGCTCGCATGCGGCCACCGCACCCATGTTGGCGCGGCACACCCCTCACACGCTTCGTGAACCCATGGGGAGCTCCTCCGAATGCGGTGCATACAATGACGGTGTTCACGACTGCACATGGTTGGGTCCTTCGCCAGCCTAACTTTCGCGTCGTCGGGTCTTGGGGGATATCCGAGCATCTGATGTGCTCCATCTGTCGTTGTTGTTCCTGGAGTTCGGCCTCCGGGCCCGTTGTCGGGCCCAGGGGCCAGCAAGCATAGGACCAGGACGAACAACACCCCCGGGGAAGGGGTCGGGACCTCTGGGGCCGCGGATGGGACAAATCACATCGGCGGCCCGACGGCACGAGAGAAGAGGAGAGGGGAACCCAGGAAACGAGAGAGAAGGAGGAGGGGAGGAGAGGGGGGGCGGGAGGAGGAGGGTGGGGACCACGCCGCCCTGTTCAAAGCGAGAACGCCACACAGGAGGGCTGGGAAAAACAGATCGGCGGGTGTCTGGGGAGGTTCCCTCAGCCCTGGGGTGCGTCGTCGCCTGGCCGCCTGGTCGTCGGTCGTGCCTCGGGGGGGGGGGGCAGCGTCGCGCTGCCCAGGCATCCGACGTCTCGATTTTTTCGAGACGCGGGCCCCCGACCTCCCGACCACTTCCCCGGGACCGGTTTTTCCTCCCGCGTCGTTTTTGGACGGCCCCGAGGCCCGGCGAGGGTCCCGAGGGGCCGAAAGCTACGAAAAACCTCCGTCTCGATTTTTTCGACACGCCCGATGTCTGGG